AATGACCTTGAATCAGCCAACCAATCAAATCTCTCAACATTAAAAAAGGATGCTCTCCCATAGTCTTCGTTGTAAGTTTCACTCTGATTTAGAATTACGGTCACGGTAGGGTCTAGATTAGGGTTAAGGTTGAAGTGGAATAGGAGTGAAGAATGCAACGGAGATTATGGAGAACATCCATTTGAAATGTTCAGTATTGTGACTTAATATCATTATCAGGATATATTTATCATAACGTCAATCATTCATCAGGGATGGTGGATCGTAAAACTAGTACTCATACAAGTTCTATTGAAGAATTTTGGACGTATAAAATAGTGGATTAGAATGGCCTGTATCAATAATCACTCTTATTAAACCATGGGACTTGTTCTTGCAGAATATTAGAGGCATATACACTTTATGATTCATTTTGATAAAAGACTTTTGTAAATATACTTTTTAAAATGAAATGCCACATCTCGCCTAGAAGAATATGATTGGTTGGTTCAAGGTCATTTGACAGTGGTATCTATTCTTTACTGTTACTATTTACACATATAATCTTTTTCTCTACACTTTATTTCTGTAGAATTCTTCAAATAAATCCGAAAGTATCATAATAATTTGCAAGTGAACTTTCCATTCAATTAACCAGATGTTTAATTTACGCGTAAACATCCGAAAGTATACAGAATTTAGAAAAAACAATAAACTGAGAGAAGAAATATCCATTCAAATATTGGTTTTTGTAGGGATTTTTCTTGACTGGTTGTCGGATTTCATCATGAGATGACATCAGTTAGAGAACCATTGGAAAATCTGGGGGTATTGGACAGTTGCTTCGTCCTAGTGTGGGACTGTTCAGCAATACACACCCACCGGGATTCGAACCCAGGACCTTCCGGTTACAAAGCTAGCGAACTCGTAGACCACTAAGCCACTGGTACACGACCCAGTCCAGAATTCGGTCAAGTTTTGATTCCCAGAAGGTGTACCCCTAAACCTCGCCTAGTCGACATTAAACTTGGTAAAGAGGGGAGGTTTGGTATGAGGCCATCAGACCCACCTCAGAAAAAACGACGCTACCGCTACTGAAACTTCAGAAGTTATAGCCCTATTTTCCTCTCAAAACGTAAACAAACCTGAGTCAGACTGACTCAATATGATAAGAAGAAGAGTTACTAGGCAAAGAAATATTGTCTGAACTGAGTACCCTTTTTCTCGTGTTCCACAATCATCATTTCATAAATATACATCTTGGTGGTCTGCTCAAACCACAATGGGCTAACTAAATTTCTATTCACCATAATCTATCTACTTTCCTCTGTTTCCAGTCATTGTTTATATCCTCCATTTTTGACTTTGAATCTCAACATGACCCTAAGTAAGTATTTGTCGACTTACAACCTACCACTGTGTACTTCATCAAGAAAATGATGGGAGAATCTCGTGGAGTAATGGGTCTCGTTTCGGGTACATCATACTTTTGATGAATATTCTCTGCTTTAAAATTCTATATGAGAAGTAAGAATAAGTTAAACTTTAGGCACCAGTAAGTACCAACGAAACAAATGACCTTGATAGCACCAACCACATGATAAAGGCTATTTGTGCGTATGAAGTATATATATATATATATATTCATGCAAATAATCAATTAAAAGGCATGGAACTGTTACACAGGGTATCTTTCTCTGACATGTAACAAAAACATCTCTCAGTTTTGAGTTAGAGTATTAACAGAGTAAGTTAACCACACTCTGAAAATATCCCTAAATCAAGCTTAATCTATCTACAACAAACTTTAATGTCACCCTCAGTAAGTTAACCTAACCCTAAACGATGTCCTTAGCCTAAACTTTAACCTTTATGTTTCCCAAACCTAACCTAAAACTTACCAGATATCCCATTTAGTAACATAACACTTCATTAAGCATATTTTATTCATGATTACAATATTATTTACCAGGTTTCACAAATTTACTCAGTGGATGTTTCAAGGTCATTGGTGCGGCCGCACTCCATTGGTACTTACTGATGCTTAAAGTTCAAATTGTCTAGGAGTAAATATTATGAAAGAAATTACTCAGAAGCGGCTAAGTTCAACAATAGCGTCTCAGGAGTGGGAACGCTCCAATGACCTTGATCTCATGTTAGTCGTTGGCTAACGGCACCTGTCATTATCATAGCTGAAATACCAACGCTATTCACCAACTAAGAAGCAAATTTCACACAGATCACGTTTTTAAATACTGTTTGGACAATGTGTTAATAGCTAGTAAGGGTTAAGGTAAGTATTGGGGTTACAGTTAGGACCAGAGTCATAATTGAGATTAGGGTTAGGTCTACGGTTATAGTAAGGGTTGTAATTAGGGTTAGGATTAAGGTTAGGGCTACGATAATGGATACGTTTGGGGTTGATGTCATTTATTTTTATTTGTTTTATTATTCATCGCTTCACTTACTTGGGAAGTACCATCAGCCCCAACGGGTTGATCTCCGACGAAATCTTAGCACGAATACAGAGGGTTTGTTTCGAATATGTCAGTTTACGCCGTCTCTGGTGTAGACGTGATATTCGACTATCGACCAAATGGCGTGTGTACTGCTCAACAGTCCGCTCCGTCCTCCTTTATGGCTGTGAGACCTGGCCATTGAGAGCGGAAGATATGAAAAGATTAGCTGTCTTCGATCATAGGTGTCTGCGTTCTATCTCCCGTGTGAAGTGGTATAATAAGGTGAGCAATATTGAGGCTAGGCGTCGGTCGAGTGCTAGGTAAGGAGGGGAAATCAATCGACGAGACTGTGAAATTACATCGACTGAGATGGTTAGGACATGTGCTACGTATGCCTAGTCATCGCCTTCCTCGACAACTGGCAATGTTAGCTGATATAGGGTCAGGCTGGAAAAGAGCTAGCGGCGGTCAAACGAAAACATGGCTCCACCGGTCAATGAAATCTACGACAGTTAGTCTAGGCCACGTAAGAAGGTGTAGACTTCCTGACTAGTTGGGGTCCTCGGGACGGTAAAAACCAATGGTTGGAAACAATTGGTGAAATGGCTCAAAATCATTCTCAATGGCTAGCGCAGATGCATCTACTCCTTGTGACTTATGATTTCCAATTAAACTGTTTTGTTTTTCGTTATTACTATTCCTTTGTCTCACACCTCTGTTTACTGTCTCTAATATGCATTTCTCCTACTTTCTTCTCTTGCTTTGTGTGCTACAAGGAGGGAGTGTGGCGACTTGAACTGGCGCACATCGGTGCAAAGTTCTATGTCGAAAACAGACAGACAGACAGACAGACAGATAGATACAGAAGCGTCATAGGCAAAGTTCAACAATAGCGTCCAAAGGGATATGAACATGTGAGTGACCTTCAGTCGAACAACCATCAAAATGAGGAATTTTTGCACAAAAAATGACGTTTATTTACAAGAAATTGTATGAAAACGCATTAAACAGGTTATCTTTCTCTGACATGACTTAAAAGTACGTCCCAGTTATAAAGAGGAGTATCAGTTGCTAAGTTAGACTAGTTTCTGTATATGGGTATTCACCGAACTGACTGAAGATGTACAGTTTTTGTGAATCGTTTATCTTTCTTATCCTGTTGGGCAGTCTTCCCCAAAAGCCCCCGGTCGAATTACTATGGTTTGCAGTAAGGGAATCGACGACCACTTACCAGGAAAATGTGGATGTCTGTTTGTCTGTTTCCGACATAGAACTTTGCACCGATGTGCGGCAGTTCAAGTCTCCACACTCCCTCCTTGTAGCACACAAAGCAAGAGAAGAAAGTAGGAGAAATGCATATTAGAGACAGTAAACAGAGGTGTGAGACAAAGGAATAGTAATAACGAAAAACAAAACAGTTTAATTGGAAATCATAAGTCACAAGGAGTAGATGCATCTGCGCTAGCCATTGAGAATGATTTTGAGCCATTTCACCAATTGTTTCCAACCATTGGTTTTTACCGTCCCGAGGACCCCAACTAGTCAGGAAGTCTACACCTTCCTACGTGGCCTAGACTAACTGTTGTAGATTTCATTGACCGGTGGAGCCATGTTTTCGTTTGACCGCCGCTAGCTCTTTTCCAGCCTGACCCTATATCAGCTAACATTGCCAGTTGTCGAGGAAGGCGATGACTAGGCATACGTAGCACATGTCCTAACCATCTCAGTCGATGTAATTTCACAGTCTCGTCGATTGATTTCCCCTCCTTACCTAGCACTCGACCGACGCCTAGCCTCAATATTGCTCACCTTATTATACCACTTCACACGGGAGATAGAACGCAGACACCTATGATCGAAGACAGCTAATCTTTTCATATCTTCCGCTCTCAATGGCCAGGTCTCACAGCCATAAAGGAGGACAGAGCGGACTGTTGAGCAGTACACACGCCATTTGGTCGACAGCCAGCGGGATATCACGTCTACGCCAGAGACGGCGTAAACTGGCATATGCGAAACTAGCCCTCTGTATTCGTTCTGAGATTTCGTCGGAGATCAACCCGTTGGGGCTGATGGTGCTTCCCAAGTAAGTGAAGCGGTCAACGTACTCTACCACTTCACTTCCTATTTCTAATCTAGGGGTCGGTGTAGTCCAATGCTGCAACATCATCTCACATTTTACATGGGCGAATTGCATGCCAAACATACGAAGATTGGTGCTCAAGGTGTTCAGTAGACTCTGTATTTTGTCAGCATCCTCGCCTAGAAGGACTATATCGTCCACATATTCTAAGTTGACGAGATTATTCCGTGGTAGCAAATCACTCCATGAGTCTCTGAAGTGAGTTAGGGTTAAGTCCATTAGTACGTCTATGATGAAGTTGAATAGGAATGGGGATAATGGGCATCCTTGACGGACGCCACTAGTCGTCACCACTTCAGATGACAACTCGCCGTAAGCTTCTGTATGGTGTTTATAGGTAATTTTTAGAATAAAGCTCACAGACATGATATAGAGATTCAATAATTATGTACGATATACAATTTGTTTCCTAACTTCAGATTGGTTTACCAAATGAAGTTGTCAATCGGTTAATTGTTCGTATACACCGACAAACTGATCATAAAGGTCCAATCACTTTAAATCTCTTCGATGAAGCAATGCGATTGACTTTCAATGAAATTTTACCATTTTGGGCAGGATTTAAAAGGAATGTGCTGTCGTCGAAATCAACCAGTTCAAAATCTCGACCACAATCTACTACGATCAAGTCTGACTACTACTATAAACAAGGACATGATGAATCGCCTCGATTGTTATCCAGTGTATTAAGTGAGTTAGTTTATCCCCTACTTCACCACCCCCACCTCCATTTTTATCTTTGAATGAATGTGGATGACATCATCTTCAGCTGATCGATATTTCATTGGCGGTTGGCAGTATATCTGCCTGAGACTCATCATCCAAAAGCAACTGAATCTCAGTGAGAAACAGTTATCGATTTAAAAGCAAAAGTGCTACTTGATTAAGCTGATAAACCAATAAAAACGGTGGATCAGCTCAGTCTGAAAGTAACAACAGGTGTACCTGAATAACATGAGAATTTGCAGTCTAAAAATAAGTAAGCAATCAGCAAGTTGTAAGGCCCAGTTTAATGTTACTCACAGACGATTGAGTTTATCCCGGTACATCTCTCTAATCACCCTAACTGCTGGTAAAATAGTCTCCTGAAGTGTTTATTATATCAATAGTTCATCGATAGAATGCTTGAGACAACCACTCAGTGGTTGGTGTTCATTTCCAAGCCACTGAATTCCTAAACATTGTGGTTTACTAGCCTGTAGCCAGACCTGGAAAAAGGGGAAGTCTAAGCGTGTAGTGGTGTGTTAAAGACAATGTGTACCAACGGAATATTATTCTCACATATTCCTGAAGTTCAGTTCGGCATTAGAAACATAATACTATGTGTATTTGAACATTCTATTTCATCTCGTTAAATGTAAACCAAAATAACATGCTCAATGATTGGTTAAAGAATATAAACTGTAGATATATAAATAGAGCTTTGATCAATGGAAAATATACCTTGGCTTCCTTATTAAATAATTAAAGAAAACGATATAGTTAACAGTTGCGTCTTGTAGCCGATTAATTAAGCTAATTGTTCGAATCCACGTACAACCTAGGTTTCTTAATTCACCTTCGATGATAACCGTGGACCTCATTTAGATTGATCAGAGGTGTGCCTCAAGAGTAGCACTAATATGAAAATTGCTTTTTTTTTAGTGAAATCGCAGACATGAAGGATATGTTTGAATAAAGCATTTAGAAGACAAATTTCGCGAGATGATATCGTCATTTCGTAGTTTCTCTACAATCGCTTTACAACCAACATGCTTGGTTCACAATAATAAAATAAAGTTCATGACAATTACTCAGTTAAATAAAACAAAACAAAAGTACATACTAATGACCAAACCAAACATATTTAAATAGGTCAAGTAGTCAGCTCATGGTGGGCGAAGGTTGAAGTCTATTGTCTTTTGTACACATAGTTTAGGATGTTCGTAGTTAATCCCCAAAGTCCTTCCATCTCCTTCAATAAACAACCCTGAATTATAGCTATGTGATGAGATAATTGGGAAACAGTCATTAATAATATTGATTTTGCGACCTGACATTAATAAGTGCTTTACAATGAATGGCGATGGATTTCTATTCAGATTAACTGCTTTGGGATTTTCCATGTCTTAATAACCATTTTGGAACCTTCTGTGTATGTCACAGCGACTGCAAGTGAACTTGTAGACACAGTTTGAAGTAGAGTCCACAGAATTTTGTCCTTTAATCGTACGTACAGGGATCGGAAATCCTCGAGATGTGAGCGAAAGAGATGTGGTGTAGAATGCGCACTTGATGGCTGACCGAATTCTTTGAACTAACTGTCAACTGCATAATCTGATCACCCTTGAATGGAGTAGGTTAATAAGAAAGCTTTCTTTGGTACAGAAGCTGTCTTTTCTAGATGTGGTCTATCCTTACTGTGACAATTGATAAAGTAAATTTTCTGGATAACCATTAGCTGATAAAACTGAATGTATATGAAGAAGCATATAGTTTATATTAGAAAACAAACACATGAGGGAAAACGCATACATATATATATATATATATGCGTTATATATATATATATATATATATATATATAATATATATATATATATATATATATATATATATATATATATATAACAAGCACTACAGGTTAATAAAGCCGGATTTAATGAATTCATCAAATTTCGGTAGAACTTGTCAACTGAATACTCTACATACACGGATATATATACTTTTGAAATTACATTGGGAGATGTAAGACTGATAAGCAAATCAACTACATTGAATTAGTCATGCAGACAGACAGGTGCGAATGTTTTTCCAGGTCATGTTCAAATAGATAAGGGGAGAGGGAGTATGAGAGATCAAAATGAAGATAAATTGCATTACGCTTCAATTACATCACTTAGATAAACAATTAGTCATTATAGAATATAACAAGAATTGCAAACAGTGTAACATCAGTAGTAATATTTATAATAACAGTAACAATAATAATAATGTTGAAGTGAGCTAAGATAATCCTTCTGATAATAATAATAATAGGTTGAATAATAAGTAAAACGTATTACCATGGTAGATTCAGAGTGACGACCATCTCCTTTTGTACACAGAGACCTGGTTTATAAACTGGAATTGCACAAGCCTCCTCCGGAATTGCAAGCATCTTTCTGTTTCTTTGTCTGCTGACAATAACAGTGAATGTCTCGACAGCGTCGATATCATGTCCATAATCCACGAGGCACTGTTATTGAGGTTTTTGGCACTTTTCACTCAGCTGTTTTCAACCATTTTGGCAAATGCTCCATCATGCGAAAAAGATAATCGCCTTTCCATACGACCTATGTATTTGCTTCCACAAACACACTTAAATTGATATATGCAGTCTGATTGAAGTGTAGAGGATTGGCGACTGGTCTTTCCCAGATTGTTGAAGCACTCGCCTAATGGTGTTAAGGAGAGCAAGTTTTGCAGCATAAAATATTCTCTTGATGGGTTTGTCGAGTCTTCGTTTGACTACTTCCTGTGCATCATCTCTTTTGAATGGCAAACTAGTATAGACAGGTTTCTTCTGAACTGCTTGGATTGTTTTGCAGTGGGTAATTTCTTTAGAGTATTTATTAATGAACTTCTCAGAATATCCATTGTTAGACAGAATATCCTTCAGAGCTTTTATTTCATGCTCAACAGTACTGTCAGAACAAATTTTCCGTGCTTTATTGAACAGTGTTCTGACTAAGTTCTTTTTATACTGTACTGGAGCAAAGCTTATTAAGTCGACAGAGTCAATAGAAGCTAATACACCATGAGTATTAGTGTTAGTATTAACTACTCAAATCAACCAGTAGTATTTACCAACATGCATTTACGCCTGATTTATTGATTACCATTTGTGACATCAGTTAGATGACATACTCTGTGATCTGAAGAAAAATCTCGATTTCCAAAGGAAACTTTGGTTAATTTTAACCTCGAACTATGTAAATTGTAAATGATGAATTTGCTTTAGTTGAGACATATCTGATAAACCTTTGATTTACTCGAGCGAAAACGAACAAATCAACCGCCCGCTTTTCACATCTCTTCTACCCGGCTAGTAATCATGTAACGACAGAATACAAAGGCCAGGCAACAGATCGTTTAATGAGGAAATCAAGAGATATTTATAGATTTTTATGTACATCAGAGGAGAAGCAACGTCTCCTGGTTGGTTGTCTTCTTGCTGAAGGTTATTCTGTGCTGCTTGTGACCGTTTCTCAGAAAGTTAAGCCATATATCTGCTAATCGTATTCACACACGTTAGGTCTGCTGTGATTAGTTGGTGAGTTCCTCAAGGTCAAGCTTTGTTATTGTTTTTCTCATGACCCGGATTCGGGACGTAACATTGACATAAATTACTGTCTACAACTTTGGTTTGTTCTCAGCCAGCTCTCGCCACTACTGTTTGTTGTAAGTGGTTTGCAGCGGCTCACATTCATCAAACGTCCGGATAATCAAGTCTTTGATTTCGACTTTATCGTCTCATTTTGTCATTTATCATTTAACTCCATGTTTTTTTGCCTTCCAATCGATATGGTACCGATACATCCTTCCAAAAATGTTCTTTATCTATTCATCTAGCTTATAAGCATCATGATATGATGGAGAATCGTTTGAAACTTCATGAAGAATGGATGATATCACCATGCACAGATATTAATTTGCCTAAAGTACCAAATGATAAAGAAGCTAATTCATTTACTTATTCAATACGTACAGGTGTTGGTTGGAGAAGCATTGAACATTGAATACTACTGGCCAGGATATTTTTCACGACTCACCTGGCCTCCTTCTACACCCCTCCCTCTCCACAAAATCTGATAAATTTTAAAACTGCACCAGAATTAATCTAATTAACTTTAACTTTCTTTTATATGATTGATATTTTTCTAAATTATTACGTATATTTGGGAGGAATAATAATGATTATAATAATAGATAGAATCTTCGTGTTTTTTCGTTTGATTAATCGCGACAAATTGTCTATTATTATTTATTTACTGAAACACAAACCTGTTACGTCACAAATGTCACTTAAAGTAAGATACAGAAGTCAATGGAGCAGCGTCGGAAGCTGCCTTCCTATGGTGTTACAAGTGAATAAAGTAGATTCATACGCCATTCGATCTTTTCGGACTCCAGGGTCCATGACACAATAAGTGGTTGGGAATCAGGGTTCTCCAGCTCCATTATTATTATTTTTTATTTTTGTTTTCTTTAGTTCCTAGAGGAACATTGGGCTTCCGCCGCACGTCTCCATTACGTTCGGTTCTCCACCGGTGTTTTCACCTGGCTCCACGTCTGCCCACATGCTTTCATCTCCTCTTCATATCACCTCTTCCATGTCACCCCACCCTCACACTGGCGACCAACTCACCGCTTCCCATTCGGGTTCTACTCGACCGATAGCATGGGGTGTGATGGATGTCACTTGATGGTTTGTTTTCTCAGAGTATGGCCAGCCAATCCACCTCCATTTCTTCCTGCATACTTCTTGCACAATTGGTTCCTGCTGGAATGGTTCGCTCACTGCCACAGATCCCTGTTGCTGGTCTTTTCTGGCCACCTGATCAAAGTCTGTAGCGGACTTCGTAACGCGCCAAGTCTCTGATCCGCATAGTAAGTGGCGCTGACTCCACATTGGAGTTGAAAATCCGGATCTTATTTTTCATGCTGAGTGCTGGTAGCTGATCTCCTTCACACTTTCCAGTGTTTTAGGCTTTTGTTTTAGTGGGTACAACTACGAACTGGCCCGAGCACCATCTTTTCTCTTGCTGCTAACACTGTTAACATTCTCTAAATAGGCATTTCAGCCATACTGGCTGGATAACTTCTAAATATATTTCCCCGAATAATTCATCTTAACCTTTTATTTTATTCGAATACACTGATTGTCAGAGCACACTTTAATTAACTGAATTCTCTTGATTTGCATTTTGTTGTCAGTACATACAAGTTAGGGTACTGATTCCCTGAGCAACTAGATCAGCTAGGTTTAGTAAGGGCTGGTACAGGGTAGCTAACCACCAGCAAAACCAGTACCCTACAAGCTGTTCTCTGGATGCCTTTCCTCTTACTTGACCTAGGGAGACTTTTTAATACGCTTAAACGTTGCAAAGTGCGAACAATATCAATAATAATAACATACTTTGGGACGAAATGTTTGCCCAATGTGTAGAATTATCTATCTATTTTATTGCTTAATTGTGATTGTTATTTGTACTAGTAGTATTTGTATTTCGCAATGACCGAATTACAGGAACTCAACCAAAACACAGAGAGGGATGAATTTAGGAATTTGTATTTGGCGGAATTATATTTTCAAATCAAAATAATAAATATATTAACAAACAACAGTAAGTATTTAAACAATACAAAGATAGAAATTGTCAATCACCACATTAATATTTCATCTTCATAAGGGATCTCTAGGCAAAACGTTAACCGACAGGAAATCGCGTGACGCAATGCTGTTCTGCCCGGAGTCTAAATTAATCCTTCATTATATTTTCCCTCGTTTCCTTAAGGAAATGTTTATCAATACGTTGAAAATGTGCGTGAGCATATTTTACTGCTCAAGGATATAATTCACTGATTAGTAATCGTGGTTCGAACCGCTGAGTAACAACATCTTCAAAGGCAGTACTGGATCATATGAGTTTGAATCTCTCGAGGGGATATCATTTTTTGAAGCTATGGGCGAATGTCATTAAAGTCAGTGCACTGGTTCAAGTCTTCCTTCCGGTTATCTTCCCTGCATTTTAATCCAAGATTTGCCGAATCGTCGGAATGTTTTATCAATTTCAAACTCTCCTTATTCGAAACAAAATGTAACATAATAATTTTGCCAAAGACCACGGTGGATACGCTCACACCGCTCACCGCAGAAGGTATGGAAAGAAGGAATATCACTCGCTGATTAGCAAAAGACTAGCTCGACATGTTCCCAAAAGAGCGCGAGTTAATATTCTGTAGGAACTGGGATATAATCAATATTTCCGTCCACGCCAATCAAAATATTAGGCCACATCATCCCGAAAAACAATAAAAGATACTCTGAATGGACGAATTTGATAAGAAAACCATTCAGGGAAAAAGATCGTGCGCGGATAAAATTTCACAACTATGCATCATCACTCAATAAAGCCTGGAATGTCATTTAACTCCTCACCCCAAATTCATCGACTTTGAAGGGGCCTTTGATAGCATTGATAGTGAAGTAACTTGGAACTGCTTCCATGCTAAGAAGTGTGGCAATGCAAACTTTATAGATCTCAGCTAGGTGATGAAGCAAAATGCCAAGTGATTTACAGTTGAAAGCTCAGTGATAGCTATAAAGTGAGGAGGAGAAAGGAAGGGCTGACTACTATCACCAGAGGTATTCCTGAATGTGATGGGCATAAATGTGCAGCAGACCGTGGAGAGGGAGAAGAAATTACACCAACGTCGACTCTAGAAGATCTCGACTTCGTGGATAACTTATGTCTAATGTCACAAAAGCTTCAAGGTTTAAGAACGACAGCCAACGAATTGGCAGCAGAGGCAGCAAACACAGGACTTCAAGCCCACATAGAGAAGACAAAGCTAATAAAAATATCCGACTGATAACCTATAAACAACGCTGATTATCATCGATGTAAAAAATCGTGCGGCCTTTCTCGGTACCATTTTGTCTACAGACAGCATGAATTAGGATGTCAAAGTCCGGATTGGGAAGGCGTGACAGGCGCTCATTACTCTGAGATGAGTGTGAATACCTACAGCAATTGGCACATAGAACAAGATACGAATTCTGTTTTACGCCAATATCAGGCCACCGGGCTCTTCCATATGGTTCAGAGGCCGGACACGTGAGTCAACAGAAACATTTCCAACAGGCCACCGCGAACCTCCATCGACGGATGCCCTCCCTCGCTCGATAATGAGGACCAAACAGTTGGGCAGCAGGAGAAGATAAGAGGCAAGGAACTCCGGTAGGCAGAGAACGGGTCAACAAATATGCAGAAGGAAATGGAGACGGATTAAACATGCGCATTGGGGAGATATTCAAGTGACACCACACTCCAGGCTAGCCTTCGAGTGGGACCCAGGGCTAAGCGATAATTTTATTGTGGGTATGAGTTTGACATGGAGCAGGTTATTTGAAGAGGAAATGAAAATTCCCATTCAGTCATAGAAAAGAAAAGGCGTTCAGCAAAGAGTTACTCTTTTCGGCGATATCATTCTCAAGCTGTACAAACCGCAAATTTATAGTAATTTTTCTTGGCAACAAAAGGAATATTTCCAAAGATGCAATTGGTAATTTTTTTGACAACAAATTACGTAATTTAGAAGGCGTTAATCGGTTAGAAACTAAAATAAAGTTACAAAAGTAGGTTGGGTGACGTAATCTAATTGCTAGGGTTCAATGAAAAAAATGAATGAGAGTCAAGTTAATAATCTGAGTAGAATTCACTTGAAAATGGGTGAGAGTTAAGTTGATAAGCTGAGTAGAATTCACTTAAAAAAAAAACGAAAATGGAGTTAGCAACAGTCGTCATGAGGGTAGAGATTTAATAGAGGGTGGGGGTAGAAAATAATGCAATTAAGAAACAGGCAAACAAAGAAGAAAGAGGTAAGACAAAATTACGTATTTGATGTTGAGATAGATCAGGACCATTGTAGATTTAGTGACTGAATAAACTTCTTTTGTATGCAGAGTTCAGGATTCAATATGTGAATTGCCATTGCTTCTGCAGTTTGAAGAAGTTTAATTCGTACTCTTTTGGCAAGGTTCCCACGTATTGTGTAGATAACTGAGAAGTTGCTTTGTGGGTTTGCTTGGTGTCCGGATTCGATTAAGTGTTCTAGGATAGAGCTGTGGCGGGGGGATCTTCTTTCTCCTTTATAAAACCATGAAGGTAAGTGTTCGCTGATTCGTTTGGATAGCAAACGCTGGGTACGGCCGACATACCTAGCTCCACATGAGCAGGTGAATTGGTAGATGCACATTGATGAGGCCCCCAGTGGAAGCTTGTCCTTCACGTTCGTGCGAATCATTGGTTTCGTAGAGAAAGTTAGTCTGAGTTCAGCTGCGAAGAAGGTTTTCTTCAGTGAGCGGCACAGGCGATTTCTCAGTATTTCTGCTGAAGAATCTCCGTTGAATTGTAGATTCAAATCGGTTACCCGGAACGTTTCATCACAAAAGCCATGAAGCCCAAAACACAAAAGCCGTCCATGCTTACTGCTCCCAAGAAACTTCTCTATTTGAATCTACAATTCAACGGAGATTCTTCAGCAGAAATACTGAGAAATCGCCTGTGCCGCTCACTGAAGAAAACCTTCTTCGCAGCTGAACTCAGACTAACTTTCTCTACGAAACCAATGATTCGCACGAACGTGAAGGACAAGCTTCCACTGGGGGCCTCATCAATGTGCATCTACCAATTCACCTGCTCATGTGGAGCTAGGTATGTCGGCCGTACCCAGCGTTTGCTATCCAAACGAATCAGCGAACACTTACCTTCATGGTTTTATAAAGGAGAAAGAAGATCCCCCCGCCACAGCTCTATCCTAGAACACTTAATCGAATCCGGACACCAAGCAAACCCACAAAGCAACTTCTCAGTTATCTACACAATACGTGGGAACCTTGCCAAAAGAGTACGAATTAAACTTCTTCAAACTGCAGAAGCAATGGCAATTCACATATTGAATCCTGAACTCTGCATACAAAAGAAGTTTATTCAGTCACTAAATCTACAATGGT